TTTTAATTTTGACTTGTTGGGGTTTCCAAAGGGATTCTGTTTTTCTCTATTTTATTGAGGTGCAATAATGATGTCGGTATGAAAGGCAAACAAACTTATATGCAACAGATTTACTATCAAAAGAAAGGTCTGGATCTCTCCCTAGATTAGAAAAATCTGAACATTCATCAGCAGCTTTTCACATAACTTTTAATCGTCTTTCCTGTTCCTATTACATGCGTCATAAGTGTTCTCCCTTGTTTTTCCTTACGAGGACGTCATTTCCATATTAATATTTTCATTATCCTCCTGTTGATAGTGTGTGTCCGGTAGAGGTATAAATAAATTACATAAATTAAACATAGGTTTTTATATGTTATTACATTAAAGAGAGAAAAAAATGAACTTAAAAAAATGCGAAAAAATCACAGTAGTTATGACAATTGGACTAACTTATTATTAATAACTTTTTAAAGTTGTTTCAAACACTCCTGATCAATATACATGTATTAATCTTAAATATATGTCAACAAGATGTACAACAAACGAAAATAAGCATGAAACTAATATAAACTATTAAGGACGATTAAAAATAACAGAAATAAAATCATTTTTTTTATCTCTTTTAAAGCTCGCTGGGTAAAGTGTTTGATTTCAAATGAAAGTAATAGTAACTGGCCTGCATTTTTGAGAGTATGATATGACCATTTCGCTGATTTACGAAATTAACTTTTAAATGTAATCTCAGTTTAGAAGATGTTTCAAAACTCGGAATAAAATAAATATTTAATAGTTGCGCATATATTAGATCAAAATGAAGTTGGATAATATATCATATTAAACACTTCTGAGATTAAATTATGTGTCCAACAAAAATACAATTTAATGGAGTGTATGGCCTTAAACAGACCCTGCATTATTTAGACCAACTCTTTGATTTTTGAACAAAAGGCCTTTAATAAATTTAAAACAGCAAAAACATCTATATCATTATACACAACATTTTTTACAATATCATTAAAATATCATCAATTTTTTTCTCAGCTATACCAAAGAACCTTACAGAAAATATTTCAATGCATTTTCTCAATCGGAATAAAAAGATGTTCTAATGGGAAAAAACACAACTTCCAATCAATACAAAACTATTGAAAATTCAAATACATCCAATAGATGGAAAAGCATTTTAATGAAAATAAAATGAATAAGAAATCGTTATCTAATATGACCTCATATATCTACATTTAAAACCAATATTCCATATTTCCCGAACAAATAAATATCTTTTAAAATTCAAATTGTGTGTACAATTTTTGTTCAATGGAGATAAAACCTATTGAACATTTGATAAGAGAATGTCAATTAAAGCAAGTTTTCAGGATAAAAAATCAAACTGAAAGCATTTTCATTTTATAAAGGAAACGTCTGTATAGGTCTGAATATGATAGGCGTGCATGTGTAAGACAGCTTATATTTTTTCCTTGCTATAAATGTTTGTTGCTGTAACGTACGGAAGACCGGTGGGGAGCATTTTAACTTCATGAATTCCCGATTGTGAACTATGAAGATTAAATTGGGAAATCATGATGTTGAAATGGCCCTACCGGTCTTTTGTGATAACTGTACCTACTTACGACTTCATTTGCAGTTTAACTCTCTTGCTCTTCCTTATCAGTACCAATAATTAGAGCAAAAATCCACGAAAGACCGGTAGATACATTTCAACTTAATGCATTCATAATTTCAACTTCATGAATTCACAATATCAACTTCATGCCACGATTTCACCTCTACAAATTCATCATGAATGAATTTCCGTTTAAACTTCGCGATTTCAGGTTCGTGAGTTCAATATTGCATCTTCAAAACGTAAATTAATAAATTTGAACTCATGGAAGTTCAAACCAAAAATTTCGCATTCGCAAAATATAAATCGACAATTCGTAATGTTGAAATCGTGAATATGTGAATTTTTTGTATGTTGGAATCGCGAATTCATGAAGTTGAAGTTGTAAATTCCTTAAGATGAACTCAAGTATTTGAAAAGTTGAGATGTCATCATCGGTTGTTTGTTAAATAGAATGAACCTTCAAGGTTTTTTTGTTCAAACGTCAATATTTGGTCAATATTGTTGTTGCACATGACCGTCATGTTTATTATTACAAATTTATGCGAACTTCAATGTTCTTATATGGGGAGCGCCACGAAATTAATTGTCTATGTCAATGGATAGATAACCGGGTCAAACATACGCTATAATTATAATGCTATTTTTAACAAAATTAAAGTTATTTCCATAGAAAAGAAAACGTTTCAAACAAGTAATGCTTGAATTTATATACAATACCAATCCAAACCATTGTATATGTGTAATTGTGTTATTCCTCTTTGCAATGTTTCAGAAATGAGTTATGATAAAATAAAAACTGTATCGATATCTCTGAACTTTTTGTAAAGAAATGTATCAGATTTAACACATTTTCACAGATGTAGGAAGTTATTCTGTTTCATTTACTTGTTTTAGAGACAATGATGTACATTTATGTTAGATGTTGTTATTATATCTGAAATTCTTTAGTATGTTTTGCATTGAAATACCACATTAAGCATCAGTAAACAAGATGACGTCAGACATTCAACGACTATGCAAACGCTGTACAATCAAATGTAATTCAAATTTATACACATTATCATAGAAAAGTAATGATACTTTAATCGAAAATATGACATCAAGAGCATAATGCAGCAAGTATTATTTTATGCGCACGCATGCTTTTAATATAACAACGAGGACCATAATAATACTATGATTGGTTTCCGTATTTAAAAAGTCATTACACATATATGCGTGTTTATATTCAATCTGTTATTTATCTGTCCAAGTAAAACACATACTATCTCCAAAGCTCATTTTTCTAAAAGGAAATATTTATATATGCAGAAATCATGTACAATATTATTCTAAGAACATTAACACTTCACTTTATGACTCTATATTGTTGCTTTCTTTCAATAGCACGATACAAAAATGGATGTGGTTTGACCAAGATATTAAAATGAAAAAGATATATATATCAGGATACATAATATATGAAAATATACCAGTATAAATATATCAAAATCACATATCCGGATTGATATATTATATACATACATCTGGATAAATATATCATAAACATATATCGTGATAGATATATCATAGACATATATCCGGATAGATATATCATATACATACATCTGGATAAATATATCATAAACATATATCGTGATAGATATATCATAGACATATATCCGGATAGATATATCATATACATACATCTGGATAAATATATCATAAACATATATCGTGATAGATATATCATATACATACATCTGGATAAATATATCATAAACATATATCGTGATAGATATATCATAAACACATATCTGGATAGATATATCATAAACATATATCTGGATAGATATATCATAAACATATATATCTGGATAGATATATCATAAACATATATCTGGATAGATATATCATAAACATATATCTGGATAGATATATCATAAACATATATATCTGGATATATCATAAACATATATCTGGATAGATATATCATAAACATATATCTGGATAGATATATCATAAACATATATCTGGATAGATATATCATAAACATATATCTGGATATATATATCATAAACATATATCGTGATAGATATATCATAAACATATATCGTGATAGATATATCAGAAACATATATCGTGATAGATATATCATAAACATATATCTGGATAGATATATCATAAACATTTTTTCGGATAAATAGATCATTAACATATATCCGGATATATATATCAAAATCATATATCTTGATAGATATGTTATAAACATTTATCTGAATATATATCATATAAACATATATCTAAAATAGAAATACCATAAATATATATCAGGATAGATATATGATAAGGCGTTTATTTGTTATATTGTAACGGTCGTACAAATAGGATATAGTCAGTAATTTATTTACCTAATGCACACGCAATGGAAATAACATGATCGGTAGATATCACATAGGGACAGTATTACATGGCCACGCCATAGGTTTTATGTACGCGCTCAAAAGTCATGAGGTGAGGTCACAATATTTTTACGTGCGAACGTTTACTTCATTCAAATCGCGTGGCCACGTATACTATAACGTGTGCAAGCAACCCATACCGTGCGACAATGTAATACATATTGCGTAGCATTGTTATAGATATAACGTTCAGACGGAATGACTATCGTATGGTCCCGTAATACTATCGCCCTTGCAAGGAGCAGATTAAATATTTTCTTATTTCTTTCTATTCAACCATCATACGTTGTATTGAAAATGGATATTTTAAAGTTGACCTATTGACTTGACTATATATTTACTTTGATAAAAACGTAACTGATCAACATTGCGTGTTTATTAAAATGTTACAATGTAGGAACGATTAGAATAAACGTCTGACAAGATGAATCAAATTACCAGTATGGTAAATCTGTACCAAAATACAATTGAGAAAGACTTCTCATAAATCAGTGAAATACAATGAGAACATCTCTTGTTTTGTTAATCTGCATGAATGGCCTTGTTTTGTTTACAATTTTCATATATTTACCATATACGATTATAGAGCCATAACGATTTGTATCAACATACATGCTATAATTTAATGAATGTGATTCCACAAAAGGTATATACAATGGCAGATAGATTAGAAGTGTAAGTTTGAGTTTAGAAATCAACTCAAGTTTCAATTTTAAAATGTTTTGTTTTGTAAAACAAAACCCACAACGTTTCGACTTAAAAGTCTTTATCAGGTATACTTGTTTACAGGAAATGACGACAACGTCATAGGACGTCAAGGATAACGACGACAAACTATAATACATAATTTTGCGTACTAATACAATATGTAGGATCCTAATAGAATGGAACAGAGGAATATCGATTTATATTTTTCAATACCTTAGACCCTGTTTAAGATAAACATAACACAAGTTAAAACTACTTTTATTTTCTGCAAGCTATGTTTCGTTTATGAATACTTTGACAACATTGTGCAAACCATAGTGTTACAATACGGTGCTGAAAATGAATTTCAATATACTTTTATTTTATTACTATATATATCATATAATAAGAGTTTTTTTCTCATTATCTTAGGCAATTGTTTTAGTTTAACTTCACCAAAGCACGATTGCAGCTGTTGTCGAACATCGTATAATATATCTGCTTTGCTGGTATTGCGGGTAATGTAAGGATTCCAGACAAACCTTTTTGTTGAATTTCTCGATAGACAGGTTTTCCAAACCTGTACAAATACTTTTCGACCTGCAAGGTATAAAAATATTGAAAAGGTTCATGTGACCAAATTGACAATGAAATTTATTACAGTTACATCATTATTATATTGTTTACTCTAAAATACTGATGTCACTGTCATTACAAAAGAAATAATATCATAATAATATAACCGAACGGTGTGGCTATGTGTATAGAATATATATTTTTAAATAAAGTTTCTTATTCTCATTCAGAACAACACCAAAAGCTGTAATTATTTTCAGCTAATACATTATGATTTATTTTATTAACGTTAATCCATTTGTTATGCTGGTATTTAAAGAATTTAAATGAAATCCAACTAAACCTGTAGACTCCTAGCCTCTCCATATCTACACTCAGTAGCAAAGTGCTCGCAGTTGTAGGTTATTAAACCATATTTATGCTTGCCAACTTTCATCCTTGCGCGCCTAACGATTTCTGTTTTACTAAAAGGCCTAAATGTAAAACAATATAAACATTTTTTAATTAAATGAAATGTTGAACCTTAATCACCCTAAATTAATTTCTATAATTTTTATATAATTTATCATAATACCATCCTGGTTAACAATAACTTTTTATCCGTTTAAAAAAGTGTATTTGAAGGTAGAAAATTTCTAAAAGATAATTAAAAGTGAGTTTCCCCTTTCTTTTTTTAAAATGTAGACTGTGAATGGTATAAAAATATGTTCAATACAAAAATGCTTACGTCATTTGTTTGTCAAGGTCATTGTGTCTATAAGTCTTTGAATCTCCTGCGACGCTTCTTATGTCGTCTATTTGAACATTCCCTCCACCACCTTTGTTGTCTTTGTTATTACTTTTTCCCGTAATATCATTAGGATTCGATAGCAAATGAATGACATTTCCATTACCTTGAAACAGATATTGAAAATTGCATGATACTGAGTGATGCACCCCGAGTAGGTTTTTGACACAGAAAAGTATACCTTTTGTAGTTTCAGATTAGCAATGCAAAGTTACTGTTCTTTGCACTGCACTTCTACTCAATGAGATCTATCTACCTTCAAAGTTTCTTGTTGATACTTCTTGTAGTTTCATAGTAGTGTCCCGGACATTGTTCGGTGTAAAATTGAAAAAGGGCAATAACTCAAAAAAGGCACGACAAAGTAACGGTTATTTGCATTGCATATCTAAGTAATGAGATTTATCTACCTACATAGTTTCATGTTGATATCTCTTACACTTTCAGAGTTACGTCCGGAACAAAGATCAAAGAGAAAATAGAATAACGAAGCCCAATAACTCCAAATAATAGGCAAGGCATAGTTATGATTCTTTTGCGCAGCGCATCTACCCAATGAGACCTATCTACCTACAGAGTTTCCTGTTCATATCTCTTATACTTTAGAGCTATGAAGAAAAGTTGAATGTGTCACAATGAACAAAGGGTAATGACTTCAAAATTGAGGAAAACAGTATGACTGTTCTTTTGCACTGTATTTTTATTTAATAAGATCGTTCTACCTTCAAATCTTGTTGATACCTCTCATGGTCTAACAGCAATGCCCCAATCAAAGTGAATCAAATCAGCAAAGGACAATTACTCAAAAATTAGGCAAAGCAGAGTTAGGGTTCTTTTGCACTGCGCTACTGCCAAATATAACCTATCTACCTAGAAATGTTCATGTTGATATCTCTTATAGTATTACAGATATGTCCCTAACAAAGTAAGTTCAAAGTGTATAAAATAAACGAAGGGCAATAACACCAAAATAAGGCAAAAACGGTGTAACAGTTTTTGTGCACTGCACATTTACTCAATGAGATCTATCAACATACAAAGTTTCGTGTTGCTACTTTAGTTGTTTCAGACTAATGTCCTGGACAAAAAAGGGGCGGACGGACGGACAAAACGGCGACTACATGCTCACCCTTCGGGGAGTTTAAAAAATCTTCACGGTTATTATGTAATTAAAATCAAATTTTATGTTGATTGTGTACGTCACCTTTAATTAAATGTGATTTCTAAGTATAAATTGGTGAAGTGAAATAATGAATTTTAATTCAGTACCATCTTGTTCCCCAGGAACGATTCTCTATTTTTTTCCGACAGTTTCTTGAAAGATGTTTAATACTATTTCACAATCTTGTAGCTTTTTTAGGAAACGACGAGCTAACAATAATAGAATACATCTATCCGTACATTATCAATACTGCAAAAGCAATTAATTAAGGGAGTTGAGTATAATAAATACTTTCCTTTTTTTCCTAAAATTTATTGTTCCTATAAAAGCATTAATATCAATTTCATATTATGTTTAGAGATACCGATAATAATCTAAATACAAGAACATTTATCTGAGCGTTTCAAACATAACATTATTACTGCTACGTATGACAAACATACCAGTGCATTATAAAAAAAGAAACAATAATATAGATTTTACGTATTTCTGTATAAAATATATATTTACCAATATATACAGCCCAATGACAATAAATCGACCGGTAAAATTCTATCAAGTCACCCTCTTCTAAATCACTTATTGAAATCTCTGTTCCAAACAAAAATGCCATCTTCTGATCAGTAACCTCACCTATATGTTTAAACAAAATAAATTTCAAACACTTTAAAGTCAATCTGTACAAGTCAATTTTTTACCGAAATGATGTAAAATTATGAACTTATTTATCAGCACAATCATTTAAAAGAGGTAACTCAATATTCATTTGACAAGGCTAGTTTGAATAGCTAGAAAGATCTTCTTTCAAAGTTAAATCGGTAAAATCTTTAGTTTGTTTGATTGTATGCGTTATTTGTAAATGTGCTCATTATTGATTTCATTTCCTTTATCCAAAATGGCAAGTACTTGATTGGTTAATCAAAGTTGTATAGTTTTTTTGCCATATAAACTACATGTTTACTTCTTCATGGACATATGGTAGTTTCAAGCGGTTATAGGAAAAAAGTGCAATTAAAAAGGAATAAAATAAAAAAATAGATGTAAAAACAATATATTGAAGTCTGTATCATCAAAACGTTAACAAGATAAATCTCAAGCGCCTGTAAGGATGACACAGACGGGATGTCTAATAATCAACCCTCTCCTGTCTCCGGTGGTGTCACTGGTCTTTATATAGAGAAACTTTTCCTACTTGATGTTTTCTTACATTTGTATCTTCTATAGGAAGTTAACAACTATTTTGCAGTACGCAGTGGGTATTTCACTGCTGCGCAAGACTAGTTACACTAAATTCCAACGCCTTAACACTGTGAAAAAATCCGAACATATATTTAAAGAAAAAGTTTCAGTTTTGCTTCTTTAAAATACACCTAGGGGATTTTAAATTTAAAAATTGCCCATTAATTTTCAGGTAGGGACGCTTTTATAACAAAAGCTATCCATTTAAATGACAGAAATGTGAGTGTTTGTGTAACGTAAGATACGTCATTTATGACAAGAAATGTAGTAACGATGTTTATTTGATTTATCCAATTTAGTTTTTACCTAATTATATTCAGATTATAGCAGTATAGTATTCAACGGGCAATATAAATTAATATAACATGCTTTTTTGCCGAGAATACATTAAACAAAACAAGCATATGTTATTGAGTAGTTTTAGGTAGGTAGGTAACTGTACAGTAATACTTTTATGTAGGATTTACCTACAGAAACATTCAAAATAACAGATTATTTACAAATCTATTTAGTTTATGATATCACATATTGACTCATTTTATGTTTTCAAAGGATATTGACTGTGGAAGAAATATTGCCGTCCGAATTATATTTAAGATAACACACTTTTAGACGTGTTTCTAATTCAAGCCTTTTACAACGCAGTCCTTGCAAACTTTCACCCAACTTTCTCTTTTGGCCATCGTTTAGTCTTTTACTGCTTCCCACTGTATTCGATCTATATGCTGTCACTTAAAAACTTAATTGCTCATCTACTTCTACTTCAAACAATCGACTTGCCTCAGAAGCTTTCAAAAACGGTTTTCTCCTGAAACATATGGTGTCTCCTTGAGGGATCATTTTCCTGAAGAGTAGATGGCTCTTCAATGCTTAAGACAGAAGAAATTAGTTCTTCACAAGAGTAGGAGCTTCACTAGGAATGGTGGAAGTTGTTTCGCGCAGTGACTCGTCATTGCATATATCTAAGAACAGGTTTATAGTTAACGCCCACGCCTCATCACGTGAATCCAAAATATGTTCACAATTTTGATCTATGGTCATTATATTGATTGTTTGTGTGTACTTTGACTAAGTGAGAAATATTTGGTAATCTTCGGAGTAATCTATGTTCAAGTTAACTTTTTAAAACATTTTCATTTAATGACGTAGCTGGGGTTAAACGCTTAAATAACCATCTTATGAGATACATGCCATAACTAAAATCGTGTTATATTATTTCACAAGTCTAGTGAATAAATTTCAAGTAATGATCACTTTCTTTATCAATTATTTTGATCAATTAAATAATTTGATATGTTGGTATATTCTAAGCAGCAGAAAGTCTATGTATTTGTCGATTCCCGAGACATATTGAAAACTAGGCCAAAGGGGCCTCGTCTTTATCATTTTTCGGGTATGTTATATACTCGGCCATTCTCCTTTATGTAAGCCTCGTGTTAAATTTACTTTAAAACAATATATATTGAGAAACAAGAAGCGCCGCAATGCGACGAAAACAACGTTTGCAACCACCAAGAATTGATGTCACAGGAATAAATAATGAAATATGGCAGTGGAGAAAAAATGATGCTGTTTTCTTTTTGTGTACCAACACAGAAAATTGGGTTCACTAGTTCAAAATAAAAATATACCAGATACCTCAGTATCAATGCCAGGCTGTATTTTCATGAAAGCTACACACATGTTAAGTTAAGTATCGAAGGTCAAAGTGTACTGAACCTTTACCTTGCTCCCATATACTTAATTAGCAATACCAATCTGCATCTTAATATAAGCTGCCCACACAACAAGTTTGGTGTCAGTAGGTCACAGCAAACTAGTTATTATGTGGAAACTGATTTTCTTTTTTTAAATGAATAGTGACCTTGTTCCAGACACCTTGGTAGCAATCCCAAGTTGCCTCGTGATATAAACTACCCACATACTAAATTTGGTGTCAATAGGTCTAAGCAAACTCAAGTTATTAGGCGGAGACGTAATTTCTATTTTTAGCAACAGTTGACGCCCGCCTGCCAAAGTAGTTTCTTGATATAAGCTACCCACATACTAAGTTTTGTGTCAATAGGTCAAAGCAAACTGAAGTTAGTGAGCGGAAACTTAATTTATAATTTTAGTAACAGTGACTTGACCTTGATCACATACACCTGAGTAACAATCTCAAGCTGTTTCTTGTTATAAGCTACCTATACACCAAGTTGGATGTCAATAGGCCTAAGCAAACTAAAGTTATTGAGCGGAAACTGAATTTTTACTTTTAGTTACAGTGACTTGACCTTGATCATATACACCTGAGTAACAATCTCAAGCTGCCTCTTGTTATAAGCTACCTATACACCAAGTTTGATGTCAATAGGCCTTAGCAAACTTATGTTATTGAGCGAAAACTTAATTTCCATTTTAGCAACAGTGACCATGACCTTGGGTAGCAATCCCTAGATGCCTTTTGATATAAGCTACTCATACACCAAGTTTGGTGTTATTAGGCTTACTTAGCAAATTTATCTTATTGACCGGAAACTGTAGCTCTTTTTTCAAACCTTGCTAGCAATCCCAAGCTATGTCTTGATATAAGCTTCCAATACACTAAGTTTGGTGTCAATAGGCCTAAGTAAACTAAATATATTGAGCGGAAACAATTTTTTAGTAACAGTGACCTTGACTTTGATCACAGAAACCTGGGTAGCAATCCCAAGCTGTCTCTTGATATAGCTTCCTATACACCAAGTTTGGTGTCAATAGGTCTAAGCAAACTTAACTTATTGAGCGGAAAATGAATTTCTATTTTAAGTAAGAGTGACCTTGGCCTTGATCACAGACATCTGGGTAGCAATACCAAACACAAACACAAAGTTTGGTGTCAATAGGCAAAACCATACATAAGTTATTGAGCGGAAACCAAAGTTGACGTCCGCCCTCCCGTTAAAAACCTGGTTATTTATTGGTCAGGCCAAATAGATGCAACAAGTCTTATACTTATTAGAGACTTATGTTGCAGATCAAATAAATATCTGTGTACTTATGTTAGGAAAATATGACATTAATGCTTAGTCTCCCTTTGTGTGATCCCCTGAAGCATTAATCATTACAAAATTACAAGAAAATTCCAGACTCAGTTTGATTGAGTCTGTACAGACACGCGGGATTATGAAAAAAGGTAACAACACACACGCCCCTAGCACTGGCTTGAGCGGTACTCAATTTTCATCATTAAAAATGTTGGAACCAATGAACCCAAGGAACATAAAAATAAAACAACACTGAATTGAAGTACAGGGCGACATTTTGCAGCTGCCACACAGCACTTGACACCTGCTGTTGTGAAGTATAAAAAAATTGGACAAAGTGTAAAATAGGGAAAACAGAATATCTATGGAAGGTACAAAACAACAAAATTGAATATTTTTAACCGCTCAAGAATGGTACGATGGTGTGTCCAAAGGTTCACAAAAATTCTTTATAGACCAAAATAGATGTTTACGTAGACGTCTCACAATATCTAATTTAATGTGTTTTAATTGCAGACAAACAAACAAGGCGAAAATAAATAGAAGGTTTACATGTTGGGCTAAAGGTAAAATTTGTAATACATCTGGCCTTATAATGTTTTTATGTTGTATGTCGTTGCTGCATAATCTTTACAACTGAGCGGTTTTTATCCTAAACTGTTGTCGTATCTGCAAAATATTATAACCGCGTTTGTTCAGCTTTAAACGTTGTATGTCTTTTCTGTACAGTCCTTATAACCTATCTTCCATAATCTTTTTTTATCTTAAACCATTTTATGTCGTTGCTGCGCATTCAATTTAACCGAGTATTTTTATCCTAAACCGTTCTTAGACGTTCCGGTACAATCCTTATGACCGAGCCCTGTTATCCTTAACCGTTGCTTGTCGTTGCTGCACAATCCTTATAACTTATTTGTACGAGCTTTTGTTTAGCAGTGATCTATCAGTTCACACTACTTGTGAAAACTAAAATTGACATAACAAAAAACATATATTTCATTTTTAGAACTGTTTTAATTTTAAAAAAATCTAAACTTTTTCAACACTTACCGTGAAATATGCTCCTTACTCTAAATAATGAAATGAAATGAATGATAAAGAAATAATTTCTTCGATCGAGGCGCTGCTATATTTGTCCTTGTCAAACACATATTATATTTCACCTTGAAAATTTAACCTTCAATAAGTTCAATACTTTCCAAACTTTTTCTATAGAATTGTAAAGTATAGAATTACTTTAAAGAATATGGCATTCATTTTGTTTGTTTAAAAACGTAGGTTAGCCAAGAGATATGTTTCGTCCCAATGAGCGATTACAATAAGTGATTTGAAAGTCGGTGACTTGATAGAGTTTAACGAGACTATTGAAATGTGTTCTTACTTGTCTGTTTATGTTTTTCAGCAGATAATTGACAATGTTACCTAACGTACTCTGGCGACATTACATGCTTTGCCTAAGATACACAGAAACGTTCCCATTTTATAAGTTAATAAAGAAAGAATATTGAAATTTATGATCAATATTGTAGTGACACACTATTATTTGTACAATATTTTAACTTATTTATAAAGGAAACATAGCTCGAATCTATCTGACATTTTATGTACAGTTCGCAGAATCATATTCATTTAATTTTAGTATTTCTTTCATTCTTATTCTATTTTTTTATTTGGTAATAACATAATAATTGCAAATAAAACAAGACAAAGGGAACATGCTCATTTGTATTCTTCTTGCCGAGAAATGCAAAACTATCTTTAAAAGTTTACCTCTTAATACGAATTCCCTTATCGTATGAGGTAAATAAAAAGAATATAAATAAAAAACATAAATACGATAAGAAGAGTACAAAGCAAGACAAAATCAAAATATGAAAGCATTATATCGACACATTCCATGCTTTGTTACAATATCTAGTCTGACGTGGTAAAGTTGTTTTTTCTTGACTAAACACATTGTAACATTACAATATAAATATTAATTTTATCAATGATCATTTTATTTAAATCAATACGGCATAATAACCCTCATTTTAAGTTAAACAATTTTGAAAGAAAATAGAAAAAAAATCTAATTCTGAATTGATTATATAAACAATATTTAAATGTTTGACGCATATGACCTTATAACAAATATATTTATATTTCGTTGATAAATAACATAATAATTAAAGCGCGTGTTTAACACAATTATTTTATGCTTTGATATAGACAATACATTTGTGGCGTCCTCCTTTAGTTCATTATAAGAACATGCACAAACATGTGTACTAATAAGCATGCCAGTCATGAGCAGCAACAATATTGACCTTGAAATAAATTGGTCTGAAAATAAAAAAGTTCACCTCCATTTAATTTAACGAACGACCGGCGATGACATTTAAACTTTTTGAATACTCGAAATCATCTGAACGAATTAACAATTTTTAACTTCATAAATTTACGATTCCAACATAAAGAATTCACAAATTCACGATTTCAACTTTTGAAATTCCCGAATTTACTGTATGAATTAAAATTTATCAGCTGCAATATTGAAATCACGAACCTAAAATCGCGGAGTTCAAACGGCGAAATCGTGAATTCATGAAATTGATATCGTGAATTGATGAATTTGAAATGATACTGATACAAAACTTATCAGACCATTCTTTCAGTTTGAAGATAAATTTACCTGATCTAAATTGTAATTGCCTTTAAATGGAATAATTTATATTTTAAATTGGACGTTTAAAATACGATAACTGTAAGCATTTGTTCAGTCAAAATTAATGAACATGAAAAATTATTGTAAAATTAATATAATATAAAAGTCATATATAGTCACGGTGTTTATACTGTTGCATCCGTGCCTGCTTTTGATCAGTCTGAATGCTTATGTAAATAAATCATATAAACAAAAACAGAGCAGCAGAAAAACTATTATCTAGTAAGCTAAAGTATCAAATGACATTTTATTTCTCCAACTGAATGCATTAACCATTCAAACAAATTTCAGGATATAATGACATAACGGGAAAACCTTTCAATTCAGATGTAATCGTATTATCATATATTGAAACGACGGTTTGGTTTGATGAACTATAAACACAAATGATTTAGAGATAGGAAAATCTGGTTTTAATCGTCATCTACTTAAATGCAATACTTACGTGAAAAAATTTATCATTGATCAAAATGAAAAAATACGAACGATTTGCTTACCATTTAAAGATAAATTGTTTATTTTATGACATGTGCTAAATTATGCACGCATGCACGTTATTTTTAATTGAAACGCAATTGATGAAATTCAGATGATATGGCATATTGTCAGCTTTTATGTTAAACATTTAAAACTTCGGTGGTTAATTTGATTTTTATTACCTTTTAAGTTATTCTTTTAGTGATACATATATATCAATTGCCTTTCATTGCGTATACATAATGATATTTTGATAAGGCAGATATATAGTTTTGTTGAAATTTTGAAACGACTACCTCCTGTCTCTCCGTATATACGCTTTGTAGCAAGGCGCTTGCATTTGTAGGTAGCTACATTATACTCACGCGCATCTTCGTTCTTTGTTTAACGATCTCTTTTCAACTATGAAAACTTAAAGCAAGTATCGAAAATAACTCATAAAATGTTATTATTTAAATCAGTATTGGAATTAATTTTCATTTTATTTTGGCTAGTACCTAACAAGTGTAGCAATATGAATATATATAGTATATGTTAAATAAATAGGGGCGTCCGTGGCCGGGGTGTTAAGGTCGTTGACCTCAAATCATTTGCCCCTTACCACTGCGGGTTCGAAATCCGACAGGGACTTTCGATTCTTTCATGTGATGAAGTTATCCAGCTTGCTTACAGAACGTCGATGGTTCTACTCAGGTGCTCGTTCTTGCCTGAAATAATGCACGAACGAGCAACTGAGATATTCCTCCATCAGTAAAGCTTGAACGTCGCAATTTATTGCGTCGATATGACGTAAAAACCCAAACAAAAATATATTTTTAATAAATTAAATAATTCAAAGAACAACACAATTTTATCTTGAAAAAAAGTGTGAAAAAAATAATTTTGGTGAAAATACAATTATTCTTAATATGGGAGTTCATCGTCAAAATCAGTGTTACGATAGGTGTATGAATCCCCTGCATCGAGGTAAAGTATATCCTGCCTGTTTTATCTCTTTCAGACTAAATTTTCCCAAAATATCACGATATGGTGTTCTTTTCCTTCTTTAAATTACTGTGCAACTATCATATCCTGACCATTTTGTCATTGTACACATTAAATGTTAAAATGAGAAATGAATATTTATAGATCTGTATTTTTGTAAATGTCCTTGAATAAAAAAAGACCATCGTCAGATTCTGTTGTGTTGGAATGTTTACGATCGCCAGCTGCCTAGAACAAAAATAAAATGTTTATTTCACTCCAATACAAACCAATATAAGTTTGTTATATCTGAAGTAAGCCAAAGTTATATTTTTCTGTTTCGTAGGGTTTCTTAATCGGACAAAAATCAAAATCAATCATCGGAATTAATCGGGCAACCCTTTTTGATCAATCATTGATTGAATAATCGGAACATTTACAATAATAAAGTAAATATGTACTAAAGAAGATATTAATTTATAGGAAGTCTTATTTAATCTTAGGGAGAAATGAATTCTCTTTTCAGAGTGACTTATCCCTTCAGATTGACTTTTTCCTTCAGGAATAATAGGGAAAAGATTTGAAATTTAGAGAGAAGTGATCATCAAAAATCAAGCTAAAACATTCGATTCGTGTTGTCTGATTTCTTTCATGAAATAATAATTACAATGTGTAACAAGTAAGCATATACATGTACATAAAATAAACATGTTAATGACATAAACATGTAAAATGAACAAATGTGCATTTAAAAATCTTTATATAGGTTTTTTTTCTTTTCAGTTGCTCATGAAATAAAGTAACCAATCGATCTATATAAACAAACAACCTTTTTTGGAGGTTTAACAGTTCCTGTCTCTTAACTTTCTTTAAACACCTTTCCTGATGTAATAAATCGAAACAATATTTTCTGCGCCGCTTTAGACCAATTTAATTTTGTAAGTGCTCACTGATGAACACTAACCTACATGTATACTTAATGATGAATAATGTTTAAATTGAAATATACATATTGTACTTTTGCATAAAGATTTTTGGGCGACAAGACATATAATCAAATACAGCTATTCTGTCAAACATCAGTAGGGTAAAATTAAACGAACAAACAGAAATGTTTAGAATTTTCTTTACAAAAATGATTATACATGTATGTATTTACTTTCATTCAGGGTTCAAGCTGTGTAACAGGAAGCTTATGTAATGCTATTAATAACTCATCAATTGAAAAAGGCAATTTACAATATTTAGATACCCTTTTTAATGGTTAAACATTGGTAATCATTCTTTCTTTTTTGTCACAGATATCAATGATAAACATTGCGTGTTTCGTTTAAGTGTCAATGCGTCAAGTCGAGTAGAACCGAATCGTGTTTCTACAGCGCACAAAACAGATCGGTTCGATAAGATACCTATTATAAAAAGGCGACCAAAAATTATATTATAATACAACTATAATGTTTCAGGTGTGTGACCTCTTCTCAACAATGCCATTTTGCTTTAGATTAATTAGTATTCATTTATAGAATGCGATTTGAATTTTAAAAGGCAGATTACCGATTTTTGCGTTTAAACTCATTAGCAAAGGTGTACAAAGTATTTAAGATATATAAACCGTGCATTACGACCGACGTTATCATCCGAAGGAGTGTTTCTAACTGCCGCCAAACATAAAAGAAAGATATGTAAGTAATGTTTCAAAGGTCAGAAGTCAACAAATGTATTGTTAAAAATAACACACGCCATTTCAAACTAATTCCTTATATTTTTTGAACGCTTTTCTCCTACAAACGTGCTTCTCAGTTTACGGTGACAAACCATAATGCGTATAAAACAATATTTGACCACAGCTAGTGTATGCAAGTGTCAAAACCATGTTACTGTAATGATATGTATGTCTGTGTTTTTAAGAGTTTTATTAATAGACTAAATAAAAAAGGAAACAGGATATTTACACAAAATTAATGGGTAGGAAGTGTTGCATTACTTTATAAAACAGTTGTTCAATCGTTACGATCGTGCATGTAGTATAACCCCTATTAAACAAACAGTTGATTAAAAAAAACTTTATCACAACAAAACAGCCGTAACGCCTAAGGCCTCAAACACATTAACACCAATAATATTGTGACGGTACGTATGCTTTGAAATCTTTTTTCAGAACATGGAAATTATAGAGAAAAAACATTTTCTAATATCAATGTTTTCTACCATCTGTTTTAGATTCCTTGGAAAGAAAAAGAATTAAAATCTGGTAGAGTATCCTTGTAATCGAACGGATTTTCTTATTCAATAAGTGATTACGGACAGCAACACAACGATTGAAGCGACTTGAAATGGCAGAAGGGCGGCTTGTTTTTACCAGTGTTAGGCTGGATGATCTTAACTGTGGGATATGTCTACAAACCTTAAAAGATCCGCGTGTGATTGGTTCATGCCAGCATATGTTTTGCCTGAAATGTATTTTAGATTTAGTTGCTGTGAGTTTATCGAATCATGAAAGTGATATTACATGCCCGTACTGCAGAACAAATATAGATAAAGATACACAGTTCTTTTCGGAAAGAGTAAATGATCGCGAGAGTTGGGAAACATGTTTTCCGAAAAACATAATTGTTCATGAAGTAATTAGCAAGTTAAAACCTGAAGATGAATATTGTAAATTGCACATAAACAAAATCAATGAACACGTTTGCGTAAATCATTCATCGTTGATATGTGGGGATTGTCTTCGAACTGAACACAAAGAATGTAGAAATGTTCAGAGTGTTGAGGAGTATACACCCAAATACCTTGACCTTGTACAGTATGACATTGAATTACATGACAGCGAAACAGAAGAACAGATCGGAAATGTTGCAAGCTTATTACGTAGAAATGAACAATGCAAACAGGAATCGGATATTGAAAAACATGATTTAATAATTAGCATACAAACTGCAAAATTAAGGCTAGCAAAACTTCAACAAAACCGTGCAAATGACATCGAAAAATTTAAGAAAGATACCAAAAATGCATCGGATATCTATGCAATCTTACAATGTTCGTTGGAGTTAAAAAAGAGGCGACAGGAACAACAAAAGGATATTGATGCAGTTATAGATGACCTAGAGAAAAGTTATTCCAGACATCAAGCATCTGTTGAGCAAAAAAAGAATCGCTTACGAAAGAAAAAATCAACTGTTGAAAGTCATGATAATAACGTTAGCTTAAGAAAACCATCTGACACGCGACCAAGGACATCATATCATCAACAAGCTGGAACAGTTATCCGACAATATGGCACATATTGGCATACAACAGCAACTTGACATATCATCTAAATATGTCCAAGATATTCACATGAGTTTTGAAAGTTGAATACATACAAGCTCCAGAATGCGATTTATAATCGCCCAAAACAGCAAAGATGCAGTCTACACGTCTATTGGATAATGGAAGAAAATAAACAGATCTCGTCGGAAAAAATTCGATATTCATTACATGCCCCAAACAAGGTCATCCAGTACGCACTGCGAATTCGACACAGGAAAATACAGTTTTGAAACCACGAGCTCTGTAGTACGAACGAGTAGGCCCACGACTGACAAAAGATGTTCGGAAAAGGTCTGAAATTGTCGAAAACAACACAAAAATGATACTCAACTGTCCTCCCTGATGTTGAAGTTGAAAGCAGGAGAGTTTTGAGTTAAAACAAACGTATTGCCACCTATCAGAAGCAAAACTTTTTCTATAAAACAGTGACTTTGTCAACTTTAAAGCATCAAAGTCTTTATTTATTCAAAAAGAATAACGTTTGAAAGATTGATCACACTATTGCGTTACACATTGGAAGAAGCGAATTTTTAATAAACGTTATGGAAACGAAACATTTTAAGTGTGCTTTAAGTATTTTATTTGGTAATTTGTAAAAAGAACTGTCATTAATGGATATTTAACATTTACCTTACATGGTTAGAATGTTTTTTTTTTTTTTTTGAGAGCTTTCATGAACTGTTAGGATTTTGTATTGCTCACGTCTTTTTTTTTAATCTGTTTTGAACACACACATTTCGCACTTCCGTTCTCAAAAATATAACACATTGCGACAAAAAAAGACATAAAAACGGCGTTTATTGTTTCTTTGGTACAAAACTTAACGTTAATATTGACAATGCTCTTTTGTAAAACACATTCAAGATTCTCTCAATAAAATTATTAACACCAAGTCCTGAACGTACCTTGAACAATTTAAAGCCCGATTTGAATCATGAATGTAAAAAATAGAAAAAAAAACGGAATCCCTAAAGACCGCCGAAAACGACAAAATATGCTTGGATTGACTAAGACTGATCATTGACGGTACTGGAAAGTGCAATGTAAATTCCAGGCCCCTATCACCGGCTGAAGCAAAATTCAAAATTTTGTAACGGTAATAATATATTTTCAAAATTAGAAACACTCGCAGCTGTGGCTGTGTTCATACGGCAGTTATTATGGTATTTTCAATGTGATACGTTAGTTTCATTCCATGAGAATTGCCATAAACGAGATAACAAAAAGCACTGAGCAAAAATAAATAAAATGGAACTTTGATAGGGGATCTGAGGATATAAAGTTTGCGTATCACATACAAGACGTCAGAAAAATAAATCAATAAAAATAAAAGCAGGCAACATATCCTTCGGGTAAGTATTTAGGTAGGAATATTGGAACCATCTGGGTTGAAAAGGGTTATCTAGAAGGAAACTAAAAACACCTCATAATAACATGTAAACATAACAATAAGGTCGTCCTGAACGATCCTCAATGATCGGAAGTATAACATCTTTGATAATATATACGGTGCAAAAAAAACACGTTCGAAATAAAATGATCCTAAATGACGGACTGTGACCTCCGGATAAAAGACTCACAAAGTAAAGATACGCAAGAACATTAGTATATAATGTATCAGTGTACAGTTATTTGGCTCGAGATTTACATGAGTTTGGATAATATGCATTAATAACTACGAAATGACAATATTTATTTTGCGAGTTGTCAATAAATATACAAGTCATGACAAATTTTAACTTTTTATTTACATTTTCTTCAATTGTAAAGACAATGTTTTCTTGTTCATGTATAAAATATAATGGATAGTGAAACTGTCTGCAGTGTACCAAGTTTAAATAAAGTGAAAGCATGCTAAAATTTGATCATGCGTAAAAACGTTGTCTATGTCATTTACATATTGCTTTAAAAATCATGACCGTAGTTTAAAACTAGTCCTTATGTCAAAAACTCCCTTATTGTCAGACAATTATGACAAAAAAGTATATATAAAGTTTAAAATGAGCATAAATTCTAAAATACTGTTCTTGCGCGACGACGGTGACAACGTTGACGCTGATCTCATAATAGTTCGGCATAACCTTCGTAACAGACTAGCAAAATGTTACTATTGACATACTTATCCCATGTAATTCAGGTATACTTGAAGCTCAACAGTAGTAAATTATCCTTTAGTGGATTGCTTGACTATTTTAATTTAAATTATGTTTATCGTGCTTGTTGAATATTGTTACCATTTCTAATTTAACTGGTAACATGTTAAGCAAATGTTATATTCACTGTTCATACTGTTCATACTAATCACCGAGAAAAGAAATTAAGTAGGCACGGTAGAAAGAAATAGAAAACAAATCAACAAGACCAGCTCAGTCCAATTGAGCTTATTTATGAACAAATAATTGCCAAAAAAGAAATGTTCAATGATTAATGTTTTTCTTTTTTTAAAGTTACATTATTTTATTGAAATTTCCACCCAAACTAAAGATTAATTAATTCCATTCGTAAAAAGTACATTCATCAACATGCCTTTATTTCTTTTTTGCGCAAGGGAAGTTATATGTTCTATGAATAGATACATTAATACGTCAAGAGTATATTGAAAATATATGCATATCGTATGTATATTGAACATTACAGAAGTTGTGTTATAAAAACATTGAAAGTCTCCGATACGAAACAAATACAGAAGCAGGTGACTATGTACTTATCGCAATTGTAATGTAAAATTCAAGGATATATGCTTAATAATTTATATATAGTGTAATTTACGCCTATGGCAGTGAAAAAAAAACCATTCCCTTCGTTGTTTTCATTTTTGTTTTGTTAGCTCAACGATGAATAATAAATATTGTTGGCAAATTTGTATTTATTAAGCTGTATTTTTAAATGTAAAGCTAATGTTCCGAATTTCATAATGTAAGTACAGTTGAGTTCACACTAAAGGTTACACAAAGTGCACTAGGAGTGCACTAGAGGTGCACTACTAGTGCACTTCAAAGTGCACTAGTAGTGCACTACTAGTGCACTTCATTAGTGCACTTTGTAGTGCACCAGACCTATAATATGGATTAAGCAGTTACCTTTTATTTCAATGAATAGCAATTTGACTTTTACAAAAAGAAAGATAAATATAAATATCTGTTTAATAGCTTTTCATAATAACTTTGAAGTTGAGAATATTAGATTTTGTAAAATATGGCATAAAATATTAAAAAAATATTTTTTCAAAGTCATTAGTTTTACTGATTTTGTACTTTAAAACTTAATTGTTAGTATATACATATAAATAATTATTTCTTTAATGTTGATAAGTGCATAAATAAAAAAAAATTAATTGATATTTAATTTGATTCTATCTTAATATAATCTGGTAAAGAAATGTGAAACATTGAAATGCTAATTAAACAAAATTCAGTCATTTTTGATTTGTTTTTTTTGTTGTTGTTTTTTTTGGTGGGGGGGGGGGGAATTATACCAATAAGTTATTTTTGATTTTAACTTATGGTTGCTTTAGTTAGAGGTAATGATTTCAAGCATTAATAGCCTTTAATACATTAAAGAATTAATATGTTTATAATTGGCCTAGATTTTGTCAATTTTATCCCATTTATAATCTCTCTTACCTTCTCAAACTGAGATTTACCTAAGATTAATATAGTTAATATATATTATTCTGAAAATAGTTTATTATAAAATGCAAAAATAATTCAGTTTTCTTTTTGTACTACTTGATATGAAATTTATTTGCACCAACATCCAGAGAATACAGAATTTACATTGCTACTTATATTTATCATCTGCCTTTTGTTATTTACCCTGAGGGGCTCTATTATCAGCAGGGTACTATATTAAAACACCAATACACAGCATGACTTTTGACACTTTAATCTTCTGTAACTGTTTTCTGCCCATGTGTGATATTTTATTTAAAAAAAAAAAAAAAAATAACCAGATCTGCATTAATGTAGAAAGGAAGTTGAAAAAGTTTTATAATCATATATTTAAATATTTTCTTTAAAATAAATTATCTTCTATAAATGTGTTTATACTGACACTAAGGCAAATTTGTCAAATCTATAATAGAAAAAATTAACATTCACCAATTCAAAACCTAAAAGATGCTGCAGATTTATTATTTGTAGAATTGCAAGAAATGTGGATAAATATTGATATGAGGTCTTTCTAAAATGGTTAACACTTTTAAACCAGTTTTTTTATGAAAAGATTAGAAAATTCCACTTCAAAGACAATAATGACAATAATATGTAACACTCGTTTATGCCATTAAGATTACTTTTCATATTTGATTATTTATAACAAAAATTATAGTCATTTATATATGTCTTACATGTATCTTTGGGGAAAAAAAAACAGGAAATTTTAAATAACTATTGCATACATCTGCATTTTTGTTATTTACCCTGAGGCCCTGTTGTCAGCAGGAGACGACCGCAGGAGACCAGTATAATGAAAACAGTTGCTCTCAGAAAAATACCAATACACAGCATGACTTGAGACTTTTTTCTTGTATAAAAGCATTCCCTTTATACATTAAATTTTTAATATAGAAATCTTGAATAAAGTTATCAATTTAATAATTTCATGGAAAACTTTTAATTATTTATATCTTTAAAAAGTATGCAAGCAATTCATGGTTGCAAAACATACTATCACAGTGTATAGATTGTTTTAATATCAATGAATTAATATCTTCTTTCAATCTTGAACATGAGGAATTGCCTCTTAAGTTATATACGATTATGCAGAATGGCAAGAAATTTGGATAAATATAGAAAATTCTGCTTTAGAGACAATAATATCTATACGCATTTATGCCGTTATGATTTTTTTTGTATATTTGATTATACAAAAATTATGGTCATTTATCTATATGACTAACAAGCCTGAGTGCCAAGGCATTCCAGGCTTATGTCTAACATGCATTTTGAGAAAACCACGGAATTTCAATGCATACTTATAATCTGCAAAATTGACTGTTCTTTGTCATTTACCCTGAGGCCCTCTTATCAGCAGGAGAGTGGTATAACGAAAACTGTTAGTTCCTCTCAGAAAATACCAATACACAGCATGACTTGTGATTTTCCTCTTCAATAAAAGTATTCCTTTTATACATTATTTTTAATATTGAAATCATGAATAAAGTTATCAAATTTATTTATTTTATGGATAATATTTTAATTTTTTTATATCTTTAAAACATATGCAAGCATTACACAGTTGAATACTAAATTTTCACAGTATATTGATTGTTTTAGCATCAATGTATTAATATTCTCTTTTAATATTGTACATGAGGAATTGTCTGTAAGTTATATATTATAAGAATAACACTTTAGCTTAAATATAAACTTTTCCTTGATTTATTTGAGCTTATGGAAAAAAAGTTTATGTTGTTACAAACTAAATTATTTGGGCCAGAATGATTTTCCCATTTGTACACTTGAAAAATTAAAAATTAAAAACACTTATTTAATTATCCATTATGGAGCATATTTAAATTTAACTTTATTAATTCTATAAATTTAATTTTAAGGGGTGTTATTTTACACCTACAGTTAAATACTAGTTAATAAAAATATGTTACAATAAATTAAAAAAAAATTTTAAGCTTTAACATGATATCACCTAAAAATGTTAAAACTACTGATTTTAAAATTTACTTATTAATATTCATGAATAGACCATATATTCCCAAAGTTTTTTTTTCTAACAGCAGCTTAACAAATGATGCCCCCTGTCACTTGATATGCAATTATCCAATAAACCATTTAGTTGTCACCTTCCCTGGCCAGCTTGTTCATATGGTCTAGTGCACTAGAAGTGCACACGGTGTGCACTTCTAGTTCAGCTCTAGTGCACTAGAAGTGCACAAGGGTGGGAAGTTTAGTGTGAACTCAACTGTATAAGTCATACATGACGTGTTCACAACAGACACTCTGTCACTGTTTAATTTATATCATTGAACTTGCTCATTCTCACTTGAATAGGCATTCATATTATATTTCCGTCATGGCTTGATCGTCTACGAATAAGTCTGAAACCATTGATATCGGATGGCCATTTAACATTTAATGTAGTTTATTGTAAGCATGCACCTTTCTAAGCTTCTTGAGCCTACACATTATCTATAATCAGCAATACGGCTATCTGTAAAGAACTAAATCATGGAATGTTCGGTTCGAATCACTAACCGTGTTTGCACAAAAAGTACTCGTATTCTTAAAAGCAAAGCAAGAAACAAACAAACAAAAACTCACAAAGAAAAACATAATTGAAGTAATGAAGGAATAAACTTCAAAACAAAAGACTAACCGCTCTAGATAATTATTCAAATTTATTTTTTTTGCTCAATTTGACCTTGATATTTAACAAAAAATAACTCCATAATCATACTTTACAACAGCAGATTATACCATTTAAGAATGAGCATATAAGTTACACATAAATTTTTTCCGAAATTGGGTTTTTGTATTGATTGAGCAAGATTTCTAATACTGAAAATAAAACCAGATCGACGAATCACTTATCACCTACAGCTTCCTCTGACTTTGGATTAGTTTTGCCATTATCACTCGAGTTGGGTAAATCTTCATTTGATGCTACATTGGTTGATGTAGTATGTGGTCTATATTTATGCACAACAAGTTCGATAGTAAAGGCAACAAAACCTACGAAAATTCCGATGACACATACATAAAAGGCACTTTGCACATCCATTAAAGAAATAGGCTTTGCTTCTGGAATTTGATTTCCCTCGCAAAAATTTGATTTGGGCCACCATTTCCTTTTCCAAATTTGGAACAATCCACCTTCGTGTATTTTCAGCATTCTAAAGGAAAACATTATTAAGTATTAAGTGTATTGTATAAAATGCCATCGGCTAATGCACATACATATTCTTCGTTCAATATCAATAATGTTAATAATTAGCATAAGTGTGAATAACTAAGTGGTGAAAAACTCGTATATGATATAAGATATTACAATGTTTGACAAAAATGGAAACATCTCTCAACGTATTCTTTATACAGCTTAAATGAACGTGACAGAAAAGAGTCTTAAAAATGCAAATTGTATTTCCAGTATCTTACTGTTCTGAGAAAATGGCGGTATGTGGCGAATTCTTCGTAAAGCCAAAAACATAGATCATCGGCATAAACTCTTCCTTTATCGAAAGAAGGCTGCATTCTCTAGCCATGTAAATTTCCATGTAGGTTTTGTCACCTAAAATAATAAAACTCGTCATCGTCAACTTATATAATAATTTTAATTTTATCTAGTGGCAATGCTGAAAGCTTACGATATATTCTACAGATTGTTGCATAGTCGCGGGATTAAACCCCCGACAGGGGCAAGCCATAATATCAATGAGAAGACACTTAATACTCAGGTAGTAATATTTAGATTTCTGGAAGAGATTCACCATTATTATGAAACTAAATAGAAATCAACTGACAGCGAAAATATAAATAAAATGCAGATTAATGATTTTGTTTTTCTATGTGTTTTTAATAGAACACCACTGAAAACAACACGTTTTTATACAATGCTATTCTATGATTCATGTCAAGTCTAACTGATTTTTTATATTGTTACAACTAAAGTTTAATCAGAGATTGTAAAAATTTGCTTTCTTTGTTTATTAATTAAATAAATACACAATGATATTATTGCAAGACGAAAACTTTATCAAAACCGGTAAACATGAATTAATAATATTGTCAAAGCAAACCTATCCAGGCATAGTTATTGTCGTTAAGTACACGGTTTATATGGAACTCTGGAACTTGATGTAGAATAGTAGGGTCTGCTTTGTTGAATTCAAGAAATGCTTCGCCAACTTCTTTGAATGTAGGATTGCTCGAGGTCTGCAAATTGAATTTTAAATTTATTTTTTGTTATTTAATTTTATTATTGTATTATTTATCTTTATGCAAAACCATTATTCAAATTCTTAAACAAATCTATTCAATATAATTTTGCTATGTTTCTTTAATAAAAAAGGGAAATAAAGCAAATAAAATATAAAATTTTGCATGGGCGACGAAAACTAAAAAAAATGATATGTGTTCTTTAATCTGTCTTTTAGAGGGAGACAGGTAAAAATATGAAAATGTAGAATAGTTTGTTTGTTGTTGATTTGTTGCTTCATTACTTATGATCATTTTAAGAAATTATCAGTTTTTGGTAAAATTACTGGGGTTATCCTTTTGAAAATTGTTCTAAAGGTGAAAGCGCATCTAAGGATCTGGGAAGGGTAAGGGATTTATTGAATAATTTTATTGCTACTTTTCGAAAAAGTTCAGCACAAGAATGAATGGAACTTTTTCTGAATCAATTCGACAGAGCAACACTGAAAAAAAACAGACTTCTTTGCGTAGTTTATTAGATTTGTGTGAATTATTTAAGCTTAACTTTATAAGGCATTTGGAAATTCTTACACAGAATTTTTTTTCTAAAAATCAGATGTTTCATCTTTTATTGATGACGTAACTATATCAAGTTCCGTGATTATACAAAGAGTCAATTTAAATAAACAAATCTTATTGATACTAAAAGTAACTATGGTGAAAATGGTATAATATTCCTGTGTTAACTAAATTATTCAACTTACCGGAAATACCATTTCCCAGTTAGTGCCACCAACTGTTCCCCATTTGTAAGTGCCTTTGAGTTCAAGCATCTCCGCTATTGTGTTGAAAGGAGGCTGTTCTTTTGTTATCGTGAGGAATGCAATAAGGTTGCCGCAGTATGTTCCCACAATGATTATACAAGTTAACCACCAACAACTTATCAATGTTCTACCGGAAGTTGACAATGGGAGATGAACACCACCTGTAAAAAAATGAGTCTTAATTCGTCTGCTATATATCTAAGCATCAACCACGACAAGCAAGTTACAGAATACTATTTATATAAAGATTGTATGAAAAAGGGTTAAAATGTGTAAAATATCGCCCACGACAAAAAAAATGTTATATTTCCAACTTACTATGAAATGTTCTAAAAAGTATTTAAAATGGTATGCCATCAATTTACGTTTGCTCATTACAGATTTGACTGTAGATGTGTAAACTGTATTGCATTAGTAGTATAAGAGGAGTAGTCCGAAACTTTAAAAATAAAAAGGGCTATAAATCTGAGAACAATCATTGAACCGGAAAATGTCGACGATCTGTACAACTAGACTTGGTACATTAACTTAGTCATTCCTGTAAAGTTTGGATGATACTGCACAGGTAGTTTTTGAGAAATGGTCCTGACAAATTTTGTGACCGACGGACAGATGGGCGGACCGACTACGGAGACGTGATGCCTATACGTCGCTACTACTTTGTAGAGGCGACAAATGTAGAGGCGACATAAAGAATCTCGGAAAATAACACCTTAGATCGTGCATTAACAAAGACGAGCATGCATACCTAACTTTAAAAAAAAGAAATATACATTACCTTGACAAAGTAATGCTCCGAACACATACCAGAATGAACTATGTATTTCGTGAAGACCGCCTTGAGCTATTCTCATTTGCGCGTTTTGTGGATTGCTATAGAATGGGTTATTTTTCTCTAGTATATACACTAGAAATGTGACAGTAATCAATAATGACCCTGAAAAAACAAAAACAAAAAAAACGTGTATGATCCAGTAATAAAAGGATGTTTCACTATACTGACACAACATGAACGTGTATCAGTTTGTTTTGTTCAAATATGTTACCAATTTCAAATGTAAAGAAAAATATGTTTACAGCTCCAAAAATGGGTTGGTACGGTTAATATATGGATTTTTAACGTGAACTTTTGACATTCAGAGATCGGAAGATATTAAATGAAACAAAGCATTGTATTGCTTCAGAAGTTAGAATAAATGTGGTCCGAGACTCTTTCTCGAAATTATCTTACGATAAGCTCATGGTAAAACAATGCAAAAGACAAAAAATCAAGGTGTGTGCGGTATTCAAAAAATATGATCACAAATTACATAAACTGAACACAACATTAAATCTTTGAGCCGATAGATCAATTAATGGATAACATTTTCAGTTTACGTTGCCACTCAAGCATATCAATATTGGAGTGAGAATAGATAAATCGGACCAACCTACTGTCCCCAACACTTCCCAACGTAATGGATCTATCAATGTTTTCCATTTTCCTGCGTTAACGTCGGGTTTCTTAATTAGAACAGTTGTATATTCATAAAAATAGGAATAGCTGAAATCCATAGCAGGGCTTCTTTGCGCTTGTCGGGTAATGGGTGCCGCCACAATGTCAACTTCCTGTTGATTAATGGTTATCATGCATTAATATTACATATTTACACAAAAGATATATCAGAATCGGTTTAAATCATTTGCATCCATATGAAAACATATATATGTTGCTGGCTGTTTTTAATTACATGACCTTTATAAGCATCATATGTAACAAAAAAACAATCTGACTGAATTTTCAATTTTATTGTTGGGTCAAATAAAAAATATTTTAAAGGCTACAAATTTTATACGGAAATTTGTATGAAAACATAACACATACATGCTTAAGTTAAACTAATGTTAAACTCACGAATGCAATTCTAACCAGAAGAATGGATAGTTTTACACTTAAAAAAGACAACAAACAGGTACTATCCAGCAACAAACACTGCTTATCACTCTCACTATCTTAATCCTCTCTAGTATCCATATATAACAATTGTACGTAGGAAAGAACGTTTTATTAAGACCCAATCTTAACTAAATGTTATCCATATTGGTGAAAAATCAAATCATTATCGATAAGATAGGACAATTTTAAGAGTTATCAGACAAACAAAAACAACAACACAACAACAACATTTCCTAGAGTTTTTATGACCGCAAACGTTGAAAAAATCAAATTAGATTAATGAATAAAATAACGTTGTTTGATATTGAAAACATTTCAGGCATACCTTCCTTTGCAATTGTCCGACCAATCCATTGAACGTTGTCTTAGCTTCGTCAGTAAAAGTTCCCCAATTTCTGTCTTCAGGTTCAGTCAAAGTATACCTGTTTTATTTCGTAATTAGTATACTTGTTGTCCTTATCTTATGTGCATTTTT